GAATGAATGCTAGGCTGGCCTTTGTACTAAAGAAAGACAAATATGTACTACAGAGTGAGCTTACACTTTTAAAGACAGACTTGCAAAAAATTTGTTTTTAAATGCTTAGGGAAAGCCAAATTATAACCCTTATTTCCACATACATAGTTATGAGAATAAGATTGTGCTTTTATATCTTAGTTCTTTTTAAAAACATTTATTTATTCATTTTTTAAAATTTGACCAGAGAGATGGGGGGGAGTGAGAGAGCAAACCACCGGGTCCAGGACTCAAATGTAGTCGACCATGTGGGAGTGCCCAGTGCCCCAACCACCATGCCACCCACTGATTCCTATCTTTGTTCTTAAGTATTAGTTTCCTTAAATGTTTCTTTAACTATTAGCACAAATAGATTAACATCGACTTCTAAATAATTTGGTGTTGGGCCTATAAAGGGTTGTAGAAAACGCCTTAGGTTATAGTGACATTGGATTACCCGTTTCAGTTTTGTTTTTGTGAATACTAGCTGTGGGACCTCAGCTAGTATTTCATTTGTTTTAACGTTGTTCGGCCTGGCTTTCCTGTATAAAATTAGACCCCCTGGTACACTAACTGGGCAGGTTTTATTATGAGGATTAGAGACAATAAATCTAAAACCTATGGTTCAGTAACTGGCAGTGTTGCAATTTGGCAGGCTCTCGTTTCTTTACCCTGGACAAGTGGTCAGTGGGAGTGGACCTGCCCTGCTCTGGGACCCTGTATTCTCGTCCTGGATGTGGGTGTTTCAACCTCTGTATCATATGTCCTCCCAGAAGTTTCATATCTTCTTTAAGTTTTAACCAATTGTAGCTTGTAATTGTATGAAATTATACACATATATGGTTGGAGCTATAAGTAGTTATAATAGATGGCCATCAGAAAACCATATGGAATATTTTGAAATTCTATTTTGTTTCATTCTTTATCTCAGTTTGGAATTGGTGAAACTAAAATAACGTATAGAAAAACATTGTTCCCTAAACTCTTTGTAAAGGTGGGTAGCTGGACGGAACCAGCAGTTGGCATAATGGCTATGTCGCTGGACTCCCATGTAGTCGACCACAGTTTGAGTCCCGGACCTGGTGGCTTAAAACTCATTCTGGGCCCGTGAGCGTGCATGCCTAAGATCCCGAGAGAAGAATGGAGAAGGGATTGCGGTGTGGCCATCCCCACGGGGGGCGTGATTTCTCGCTTTCTGTCTCTGTCTGGCGCGCATGCACCGTATATAAAAACCTCTCAAAAAAAAAAAAAAAACTAAAAAAAATTTTCAAAGTGGGTGGCTGGGCATTTTTTTAAAATTTATTTAATTTCATTTATTCATTCGTTTATTTTAATTTGTCCAAAGATGGGGAGAGAGAGAGAAAGTGAGAAAGCAAACAACCAGGTCTGGGACTCAAACGATGGTCAGCCACGTGGGAGTGTCAGAGCTTTAACCACCACACCACCTGCTGGTGTCCGGTCATTCTTTTTAATTTGGGCTAAAGTGAAAGGAGCTGTCCATGGTGCGAGGAATTAGGGTAGATGTCCACTTTGCCCCACAGAGCCTCGGGACCTCTTTATTTTTTCACTAGAAGCTTGAGTTAGGTTTGTATTTCATACATCCAGCCACCTGAGTACTCAGTATTAGAGCCATCTTGCACTTGCCTCCTTTCTGAACCATGTAGAGTACATGTTAAGAGCATGCTTCATACCTATTTCACAGAGAGTGTTTTACTTTTTAAAGAATATAATTCCTAAACCATTAGTAGAGATGCCATTATTCTTTTTAAAAACCGTAACAGTGAGAGAGAAGCAGAATATATGGTCTCCTGGGCAACATTTATTTCATCAGACACTCAGCATGTTGCCCATTTTCTTCTCTCAAGAGCATCTTTATGGCAGTTGTAGGAATGACGACTTATGACCCAGACTGCTAATGCTCATCGTCCAGCCCAAACTGTGGTCCCTTCTTGTGTGGGAACAAACACTTGAGTGTTTTACATTATTTACTTATGGTAAAATCTTGCTAACTTTCTGTGTTTTTAAAACATTCTGGTAGAACACATTTATTTGCATCTTCTACATAAATACAGTTGGTGATTCCCAGTTTTAAAAAAATGGTAACTTTCAGGATTGTTCATATTTAATATACAACATCATTTAATACCTTTTATCTTTTTTTTTTCTTTTTTTGGGGGGGGGGCGGGAGAGGTTTTTCGCTATAGGGCGCTTGCGCTTGCCAGACAGACAGAAAGAGACAGAGAGACAGAAAGCGAGAAATCACCCCCCAGAGGGGATGGCCATGCCGCAATCCCTTCTCCTCCATTCTCCTCTCAGGATCTTGGGCACGCACGCACACGCGCCCGGCGTGAGTTCTAAGCTACTGGGTCCAGGACGCGAACCGCGGTCAGCTACGTGGGAGTCCAGCGACATAGCCATTACGCTAACTGCTGGTTCCCAATACCTTTTATCTTTAACTTGCAAATAAAAACTCATCTGACCTACAGGTGCTGTTCCAGATGTGCGGAGAAAACCATCAAACCCTCTCGTTTATTGCACATGAGTCATTTTACAGATTAGAAATGTGATCTCTCTCCACCATGGACTCTGTGCTGTAATGATAGCTGTCAGATCACTCTGGCTTCTCAAATGTATTATCATATATCATCCTTACATCATCTTTGTCAGGGAGGGGCGGTCTGCATAGTATTGTGTCCAGAATGAAGATGAGGAACTGCAGTTGTTGCAGACAGATTAAATGATTTGTTCAGGGTCACGTGGTTGGTCAGTGACAGAGATAGGCCTGAATCTGGGTCATCCCTCTTGACTGGGCTTATCTATGAAGCCAGGAGATAGATTCTTGCAAGATGGTACAGTCATTAGGTTTTTGAGGGTATTTTGCCCTACTTTAAAAAAAAATGAATAAACCTTTTATTAAGAATAGTTGTAGATTTACAGAGAAGTTGCAAAAGTAAAGCAGAGTTCCTGTATACCATCAGGTAATACCTTTTATCTTTTTTTTTTCTTTTTGGGGGGGGGGCGGGAGAGGTTTTTCGCTATAGGGCGCTTGCGCTTGCCAGACAGACAGAAAGAGACAGAGAGACAGAAAGCGAGAAATCACCCCCCAGAGGGGATGGCCATGCCGCAATCCCTTCTCCTCCATTCTCCTCTCAGGATCTTGGGCACGCACGCACACGCGCCCGGCGTGAGTTCTAAGCTACTGGGTCCAGGACGCGAACCGCGGTCAGCTACGTGGGAGTCCAGCGACATAGCCATTACGCTAACTGCTGGTTCCCAATACCTTTTATCTTTAACTTGCAAATAAAAACTCATCTGACCTACAGGTGCTGTTCCAGATGTGCGGAGAAAACCATCAAACCCTCTCGTTTATTGCACATGAGTCATTTTACAGATTAGAAATGTGATCTCTCTCCACCATGGACTCTGTGCTGTAATGATAGCTGTCAGATCACTCTGGCTTCTCAAATGTATTATCATATATCATCCTTACATCATCTTTGTCAGGGAGGGGCGGTCTGCATAGTATTGTGTCCAGAATGAAGATGAGGAACTGCAGTTGTTGCAGACAGATTAAATGATTTGTTCAGGGTCACGTGGTTGGTCAGTGACAGAGATAGGCCTGAATCTGGGTCATCCCTCTTGACTGGGCTTATCTATGAAGCCAGGAGATAGATTCTTGCAAGATGGTACAGTCATTAGGTTTTTGAGGGTATTTTGCCCTACTTTAAAAAAAAATGAATAAACCTTTTATTAAGAATAGTTGTAGATTTACAGAGAAGTTGCAAAAGTAAAGCAGAGTTCCTGTATACCCAGCACCAAGCTTGCCCTGTTGTTAGCATCTTACAGTATAGCATGTTTCTCACAACCAATGAACCAACATTAATTTATTATTATTAACTGAAGTCCATACTTTATTCAGATTCCCTTCATTTTCACCTTATGTCCTCATTTTGTTCCAGGATCCCACCCAGAATAACATATTCTTTTAGCCATGATATCTCTTAGGCTCCTCTTGGCTGTGATAGTTAACAAAAAGTACCAAATGGACATTTGGAAATGCCACTTTCCTGAGAGTTGACTGATGTTTTTCTCATGATTAGACTCTGGTTATGGGTTTTGGAAGGACCACAAAAGAAGGGGCCACTTTCATCACTACATACTGTCAACATGAGTTACTACCGTTGATGTTGACCTACATTATCTGGCTGAAATGGTGTTTGTCAGATTTCTCTCCTGAAAAGTTATTCTTTTATCCCATTTCATGCTATACTCTTTGGAAGAAAGTTAGTATGTTCAACCTACACTGCCTTGAAAAGGGGGAGTGTCTCCATAAATCACCTAAGTTCTGAATGGGAGACTTGCAATCCTGCCCTACCTCTCTCTTTTCTTGTGTCTGCTAGATGTTATGTAATAAGGTGTGAATTTGTGGCTCCATGAGATGGAATCATAGAATAGGTAAAAATTCACACCACTTTGAGTTCTTAGAAGTGATTAAGAAAAGGCAGCTGGTAGAGGAGGAGACCTTGAGAAGATAGCTTCTAGGTTAATGATTACCCTCAAAGATCCAGAGTAGTCCATTGCAAAGTGCAAGAGAGAAAGAGTAGTGTGATAGTAAATTACAAGTATGATCTTCAATATAAGAAATATAATTACAGAAAAGAACAGTTCAACTTAGGATTTGGGGTGGAGGGAACAGCCACTGAGCTTGTACAATCATAGCATCTTCTGGATATGAAACCATCTCCCCACTTCTAGGTACAAAACCTGCCATTTAACATGTTATTTTATTCCCAAGTCAAGAAAGGTCATGTATAGGTTTGTCTTTTTTTAATTAATTTTTTTGTGTCTTATTTTTTTTTTTTTTTAAGATTTTTACATTGAGAAGAGTTTTAAAAAATGAGGAGCTTGGTCAACTATTTCTTTGGAGCACTCAGTGTTGGGCCATTCGGGCTGATATTCTTTATTTTCTCCTCTCTCTGCAGAACTCCATTCGGCACAACCTGTCACTGCACAGTCGATTCATGCGGGTCCAGAATGAGGGGACCGGCAAAAGCTCCTGGTGGATCATCAACCCTGACGGGGGGAAAAGTGGGAAGGCACCCAGGCGGCGGGCTGTCTCCATGGACAACAGCAACAAGTACACCAAGAGCCGTGGTCGTGCAACCAAGAAGAAGGCTGCCCTGCAGACAGCCCCAGAGTCAGCTGACGACAGTCCCTCTCAGCTCTCCAAATGGCCTGGCAGCCCCACATCGCGCAGCAGTGATGAGCTGGACGCGTGGACCGATTTTCGCTCACGCACCAATTCCAATGCCAGCACGCTCAGTGGTCGCCTGTCACCCATCCTGGCCAGCACAGAGTTGAATGACGTCCAGGATGACGACGCACCTCTCTCCCCCATGCTCTACAGCAGCTCAGCCAGCCTGTCGCCCTCCGTGAGCAAGCCGTGCAACGTGGAGCTGCCACGGCTGACCGACATGGCGGGCACCATGAATCTAAATGACGGGCTGGCTGACAACCTCATGGATGACCTGCTGGATAACATCACACTCCCGTCGTCCCAGCCATCCCCCACTGGGGGGCTTATGCAGCGGAGCTCTAGCTTCCCATACACCTCCAAGGGCTCTGGCCTGGGCTCTCCAACCAGCTCCTTTAATAGCACCGTGTTTGGACCCTCATCTCTGAACTCCCTACGCCAGTCTCCCATGCAGACCATCCAAGAGAACAAGCCAGCTACTTTCTCTTCCATGTCACACTATGGCAACCAGACACTCCAGGACCTGCTCACTTCAGACTCGCTTAGCCACAGCGATGTCATGATGACCCAGTCGGACCCGTTGATGTCTCAGGCCAGCACCGCTGTGTCTGCCCAGAACTCCCGCCGGAACGTGATGCTTCGCAATGACCCAATGATGTCCTTTGCCGCCCAGCCTAACCAAGGGAGTTTGGTCAATCAGAACTTGCTCCACCACCAGCACCAAACCCAAGGCGCTCTCGGTGGCAGCCGTGCCTTGTCGAATTCTGTCAGCAACATGGGCTTGAGTGACTCCAGCAGCCTTGGGTCAGCCAAACACCACCAGCCGTCTCCTGTCAGCCAGTCTATGCAAACCCTCTCGGACTCTCTCTCAGGCTCCTCCTTGTACTCAACTAGTGCAAATCTTCCTGTCATGGGCCATGAGAAGTTCCCCAGTGACTTGGACCTGGACATGTTCAATGGTAGCTTGGAATGTGACATGGAGTCCATCATCCGTAGTGAACTCATGGATGCTGATGGGTTGGATTTTAACTTTGATTCCCTCATCTCCACACAGAACGTTGTTGGTTTGAACGTGGGGAACTTCACTGGTGCTAAGCAGGCCTCATCTCAAAGCTGGGTGCCAGGCTGAAGGATCACTGAGGAAAGGGGAAGTGGGCAAAGCAGGTCAGTGCCCAATGCTATGGCATAAAAACAAGCAGGTGGGGGTGTTGGGGAAGCCTGTCTTCTGTTGACTTGGAGTATTATTCCACACAGAACCATGGAGCAGTGGTGCATGATGATATGGCTCCCAGCCAGTTTACCTGGAAACCAAATAGGGCTGTCAGGTGTCTCTCCCCACAGCTTACTGGAAACCTAGGAATTTCACTGCCAGTGAGAAGAACACACTTTCACACATTCAGAAATCTCATTCTTTGTATCCAGTCATCCTTGCTGACCCATGGTACAGGTGCCCCTCTGTGATGGATGGATGAGAGTAGAAGGGGCAGCGTGGAAGGGGAAACTTAGGTAATACTTCAGAATTAAGGGTGGAGCAGTGGAGACTTCTCAGAAAGACTTTCAGTTCTATCACTGCCTTTGTTGATCTTTGGATTATAGTTTCTGTTTTTGTTATTTTTTTATACCTCCTCAGTAAAGTAACAATTTGTAGGTATTTCAGTTTAACTGTAGAATGCATATTTCTGGACTTTTTCTCAGCGTTTCCACCAGATTATTCTTGACCTTAGTGTTAAGCACCTTAATTAATGTTCAATATCTAAGCAATTAAAAATAAACATGTTAAGTTGAAAATGCAAGGGTTTTGTTTTTAAAATGTATTTATTTCTTCCATAAGAGAGAAAGAGATAGAGAGGGACACGCACTCCCAACAGGATCTTGACACAGCCTTAGTAAGCCCCAGATCCTGGGCACACAGGTACCCACTGGACTCAGGGAGGTCTCCAGACACAGACCTGGAACCTTCTGTGGGTCAGCCTTACAGAGTGTTGTGCTTTGTGGTCCCAGAAAACACAAGGTTCAATATGAGGCAATTCTTAGTCATTCACTGCTTCTTACTCCCCAACTTATACATAAGAGAAAACAGCAACAAGAATTTTAAATGCTGACAGTGTTTTAAATTGTGGTGTTGCTCTTAGGACCAGAAAGATAAGACAATGTGATAAGGGAAGAAAGGCATTTGACTAGAATCGGGAGTTAAGGATTAAGTGCCACATCCATTGCTTTCTGGCTGCCATTGTCGGTATGTCACTTAGCCTCTCACCCCCAATTTTCCAGTTTTATAAAATGAGGATAATAGTAACCTTGTTAACTTCACTGGGTTATTGCAAGAATCATATGTACTTACATGAAAGTGCTTTGTAAAAACTGTAGTTGGACAGAGGCCGGCAGGTGGCATGGTGGTTAAGGGTGCTGGACTCCCACTTGGCTGACCATGGTTCAGGTCCCAGACCTGGTGGCTTGCTCTCTCTCTCTCTCTTTCTCTCTTTCTCTTTCTGGTGGCTTGTTTTCTCACATTCTCTCTCTCCCTCCTTCCCTCTCTGGTCAAATTTAAATGAATGAATAAAGTTAAATAAAATAATTCTTAAAAAAAATGTAGAGGGATGAGATATATATGGTACAATTGGGTAAACTTACTGTCTGACAGATGAACAATCTGGCAGCCCAGAGAAGTTAAACAGTTTGTCCAAGGTCACTGAGCTAGACCCAGAATCCATACTCCTTAAATGACTTGAGCCACAGGAGTTCTTCCTAGCTTTCTCTATATGGTAAAAAGTTGGAAGTGCTCTGGAGTGAGAGCAGCAGATAATAGACACATTTGCCTTGAAACAGTCCTCCTCAAGAATTATGAACACCAAAGTCTTCTGCCAACAGGTTTGCATCCCCAGATGCCCACATGTTAAAGGGCTCTGCTTTGTGCCCCAACTTCCTGTCTGTATTTTTTTTTTTTTAATTTTAATGTGTTCCAGCAAGCTGCTTACAGGTTTCTTTAAATGGTGTAAAAGAGAAATCAGGAGAGTCTTGTTTAACCCTCTTCCATAGTTAAAGAATGACAAGGGTCTCCCGTGGTGGGTGGTTGGTTGCAGTCGGGAATGTCAGGAGTACTATGATGCTGAAGCTTCCCACCTTTCCCAGGCATGAGCAGGCTCCTAGTGCAGCTCATGCATCTGTTTTCAGTCATTTACTAGCCCTGGAGATGGTAAAAGACTGTAATGGAAGCCAAACAGGGTGGCAGTACTTCCATGCCAGCGAGTTCAGTACCGTACCAGAACTTGGACAAGTACAGATTTCACTTTAGAAATTCAGATCTTTGTCGTTTAGAGGAATAAATGACTTGGCTTCCTTTAAGAAGAGGAATGTGACTGTGGTTTCTAAAAACAAAAGTTTGAGTTTGGTTGTAGTTGAAGAAGGCAGGCCACTTTTCTATTTTAGAAAGAATATGTTCAGAAGAAAATATACTACCAATTTCGTTGGGATTTTTTCCAAGTGTAGATTTCCCTTTTAGTTCAATAGCATACCTTCCTTGTGTATGTGTGATTCTAAAAGATAATACAAGTTTTTATTTTTTAATTTTTTCCATTTAAGATTTTTGCCATAGGGCACATGTGCTTGCTGGGAATAGAGAGAGGCAGGGAGAAGGAAGGTGAGAAATCACGCCCCGGGGGGGACGGCCGCTCCACAGTCCCTTCTCCATTCTCCTCCTGAGATTTTGGGCACACACACACACACACACACACACACACACGTGCCCAGCATGAGTTTCAAGTTACTGGGTCTGAGATTCAAACTGTGGTCAGCCATGTAGGAGCCCAGTGCCTCTACCACCACGCCACCTCCTGGTCCTGTCTAAAAATCTTTTAAGAGAGATTTAAATATTTATAAATGTATTTAATGAGCTATGACTTTGATAATAATCAGTTATTACTTTGTAGGTAATGCCTTTCACTGTTACAGCCTAATGGAACCTTAGAATCATTTACTCACCTTAGTCTTTAAAACATTTTGGGGGGAGGTTGTTTTGAGAAGGTATTTCTTCAGTTAAAAATGCAAAGTTAATTAGTGAAGTTTATATTAAAAGATAGAAAAGTTACCAAGTTTTCCTGCAAGTGACTAGCACAGTGTGACCACAGACCAGGAGAAGAAACATGCTAAGGACAGTGTGGGGCTGTGAGGAGGTCTGGTTTCTGGGTCTAGGATTCCCATTTTGCCTTGGAATGAATTGCTCCTCTAAGCAGCCAGGAGCACAAGTGGCCTGAAGTATATATTTACTTCGAAACTGAACTTGTGGCAAGCACTTAATTGAAGGCTCTTTCCTAAATTCGCAAAACAGACCTGAGGTTGGAATCTCTTACCATTTCTCCCAAATTAGGCACCCCAGCTTCCTCTTAGTTATTCTATAATGACTTCCTTGGTTTGCCTTTTTTTTTCCTAATATTTCTCCAGACTGACTTTTGGCTCACCAGTGGAAGATCATGTGGCCCTGCATTCAAGCTTGTGTTGTTAATGGAGCGGTCCTGTCCATTGACTGACAGAGCTGGAGGGCTGGTGTTTCACACACTTCATTTCCTTTAGACCATATGTAAGATTCTTTAACCTGTGGTTCTCACTGATAAAGGTGAAATAGCCATACCTTTTTATGAGTGCCAGCTACTGAGATGTAGAGGGCACTGTCCTCTCTTGGGTGCAAATACTTAGAGTTTGGTGGCAGACGGCAGTGAGCTGGTGTGGTGGGTTGCAAGCCCCAGCTTCCATAAGTCCTCTTGAGTTTGGCATGGCCCTCCCAGAAAAAGGAAAATAGCTTCAGTCTCACCTGGTTTTGATGTCAAAAGTTGCCTAAACTCTCAAGCTCTTTCATTCATTTTTGTCTTTTGGCATTTGGAAACTTATCTGGGGGCAGCCCAGTGTTGAGTTTTGTGTTTTGAACTGCCTTATAAGGCTTGGAAAGCACCCACCAGGGAAAGCTCAGATGTAGAGGAGAGGGTAGATCTCTTCCTGTTTCTGCCACTGGACATATTACTAATGAATCTCTTAGAGTGTCAGGTGTCTCATCTGTCAAAGGACAGAATCATAGAGTTCTAAAGGTATATAGTATGTATAATTTCAAACTTGACACCTAACGTTCTATGAAGTGGTCCTAGTAAGGTATTATGTAGCAATAGGAGACTGCAAAGAAATAGCAGCATACTTGTGTAAACACATCAGGCTTCACTGTTGGGAGCCACTTAGGATTTACACATGGACTGTTGATACTTCTCAAAAAGAATAAATCTTTGATGCTTATTGAACTGATGTTGAATGTTGTGATTCTGTTGTCTTTAAAATTGATGTTGGAGTACAGGACTAAACCTAACCCAATACAGATAATATATAGGCTATCTGTGTCATGTTTATCCCTGACATAGACGTCTTTGTTTTAGGGAATATGGTGAATATGAATCTGTTCTGTGTTATATGGAGAATATATCCTGTTACTTGCACTTGTGACTGTACTCTTATACCAGTGTAAAGAATTCTACCTCTGCAAAGATCTTTATTCTTACCTTTTAAAAATCCCAATGTCTGATCTGTCATTTATGAAGAGAATGACTGTTGGGATCTTTCTGGTGTTGATAGCAGTAAAGGAAAATCGATGCAGTGAAAAGGGCTTCTCGTTGCAAGGGCTGGGGCACTCTTCACGTACATTTTCCCCTGGAAAGCGGTAACATCCAGTACTAAGGCTGCTCCTCCTGGGCCTGTTGGTTTTGCGATGTACCTGTGCTCACCTCTGGCCAGCCTGCTGATGTGCACAGGGATAGAGCCTGAACTGCTCCAAGCAGCTCTGTTTTTGTGAAGGTTCTCTTTTGGCCATAAAGCATATGTGAGACATAAATAAATGGGGTAAAGTCACCAGAATTACTTCTTATGTTTCTTGGGGGAACTTTAAGCTTCAGTTAAATACTTCTTTTTTAGAGTGTTTATTGTGCTCAGCAACCAACATCTAGCAAGCAATATTTTCTGTAAGGAAGAGGCTTCCCCCAAGGACCACCTGTGCTTCTCGTAGACTTACCTTTCTGTACAGAGATAGGAGAAAGATGAAGAGATGGCCTGCCAGATGTCCTCCTTTGCCTCAGCCTAGGCAAGAGGGCTCGCTGACTGCTTTCTCTTTCCTAATTTGAAGGCATGTGGTTTTG